GTTGAAAACGAACTGACCAAGGATATCCAGATTCGCCGTGGGTTCCGCCAAGGGTGTATTTTATCACCCTTGTTATTCAATTTATACAGTGAAGCCATCTCAGAATTAGCGCTTGCCGAGATCAGTGAGGGCCTTATAATAAACGGTGAGCCACTTAATAACATAAGATATGCTGACGACACCGTCCTTCTGGCAGGAACACTAGAAGAACTCAACACCTTGCTAAACAACTAAATATATTATAACGATTGCAACGATTATGGACTAAAAATCAATTTGAAGAAAACCAAGTTCATGGTATTTACAAAAGCACAAAACATCAAAGTTAAGCTAGTACTAGATAATACAGAAATTGAACAAATATCTTCGTACAAATACCTTGGAGCATGGATCACAGATGATACTGATCAGACAAAAGAAATAAGATGCAGCATTGAAATTGCGCGGTCAACTTTTAATAGAATGAGAAAACTTTTTTTGTAATCGCGATATCAATATATCGCTCCGGATAAGAATGCTTCGATGTTATATTTTTCTCTACCCTTTTGTATGGAGTTGAAGCTTGGACACTTAAAAAATCCAACATTAAAACCCTAGAAGCATTCGAAATGTGGTGTTACCGACGTATTTTGAAAATATCATGGATGGATCGCAAAACAAACGAACAACTGAAGTTCTCGAACAACTAGGAAAACAATGCGAAGTTTTAAATTCCATAAAAATCAGGAAATTGGAATACTTGGGGCACATCATGAGAGGTGAAAAGTACGAACTACTAAGGAATATAATGCAGGGAAAAATCAAAGGTAGAAGAAGCGTAGGAAGACGTAAAATCTCGTGGCTACGCAATCTCCGTGAATGGTTTGGATGCAGTTCAATTGAACTATTCAGGCGAGTAACCAATAAAATTATAATTGCCAGAATGATTTCCAATCTCCGATAGGAGTGGAACTTGAAGAAGAAGAAGATCTAAAATAATTAGGGAAGCAGCAATTCAACAATTTAAAATTTCCCATTGAGTTTCCTATGGCCCGTTTGACGATTCACCACCCGGTATATATTAACAATAAAACCACAATGAGAGAAAGGGAAATACAAAAAAAACTATCAGGAGTACAAATGGACAATGTACAATGGAAATTGAATTATAAAGAAGATAATACTATAGATTATCCAAAAAAGCCAATAACAAACGGCAATAGAGAAAATATGATGGAACAGGCAATGGACAAGGACACGAGTAGTTATAAAGTTATTTGCAAAAGAAGAGAAATGTTTACAAATACACAGAGCATCGGCAAATAGTAAGATCAACGGCAACTGTAAAAACCAAAATACCTGAAGGATGGGCAATAAGAACTTGGAACGTAAGAGGTCTCAACGGTAAGGAGAGTAAACTTGCAAAAGAATTTGATAAGGCTAGAGTAGACATACCAGGAATAACAGACACAAGAAGAAAGGGCAAGAACACACAGTTTCTGAAAAATGGCCATTTTTTAATCCTCACTTCTTCTTCTTTTGGTGCCTAGGCTCTGTGGATGTTAACAATCACTTTGCTCCATACAACTTTGTTAAAAGCTGCTCTAAATAGTTGTATGTTAGTCATTCCTGCCCACTGTCTGATGTTCTTCAACCACGATGTCCTTCTGCGAGCTTGAGATTTTTGGCCTTCTATCTTGCCTTCATGCCCTAATTATATCCTCTTTCTGATTTTTACAATACGCAATTTCAAGATCTTGATTCATACGTTGGATTTACGGTGTTGTTTGTAACATGATGAATATATGAAATTCTGAACATGCGGCAGTAGCACTACATTTGGAAGGCTTCTAATCGTTTGGATGTTGACTCCATCAAGGTCCAGGCTTCGACTTCGTGTTCTTATATCAATTTTCAGGTGCATATTACACAAAATCTTCCTGAGGCGATTAAAGACAGCTCTAGCCTTTTCTATGCGACATCTTATTTCCTGTGAATGGCCTCATTCCTTATTTATGTTCCCAAGATATGTAATTTTATGTAATTAATAATTTTATGTAATCCTCACTGGAGTACCTTATTTAGAAAGAGCTTGTGAAGGAGTTGGTTGTCTAATCAATAGAAATCTGACTAGCAAAATTAAAGATTGGGAATGTATCACCAAAAGGATTTTGAAAATAAAGATGACAACCGACGAAAAGAAACTAATGAACATGTTATATATGGCACAAACGATACGAAGAAAGCGAACACCAAAGACGTTTTTTAAGAATAGGCGGAAGAAAAATTTTTTACTTTTTGCTTTATTCTTAGATGTCGCCATTTGCGTCTTTAGGAAGTTATTTCATCATTACTTCCTTTGACTGAATAATTTTGATTTTACGTTTAGATGCTTCTTACTGCTTCGCTCTGATGAGTTCTGGAATTCCGAAATATATATAAACCAATTGTAGGGGCACTATACGTGAAATCAAATTCTTAACTAAATCCGCAAGGAAAATAATTCCTGCAGCTGGCTGTATACCACGTATCACAAAAAAAGAGGTTAAATCTTTGTAAATGGGTATATTTTAAAAACCCTTAAAAGGACTTCATCAAATTAACACGAAAGTTTTCAGAATAATAATTCCAACATCAGATTAAAAAATGCAGGTTAACATGCCTGAGCCACCAAAATATTAGGGTAAAAACCCTTTAAAATAAATAAGGTTACCGAAGATTGTACATATTGTTGTTAATAATATTTTATATTTAATATTTTAATTACATTTTACTTCAGGTAACATACACTAATGCTTTACGTGAGTTCTAGCGTCCGGAGAGTAAACCTCTTCAAACGGACTTCAGCTGGTAACTGATTGATCAATCAAGTGTCAATTAAACTAGATTTAAATAAACTTAGAAACAAAAATATACGACAAGAAACACGAGAAGAAATAAATAAAACCTCCGTTCAGTGCAGCAACAAATTAACGATACAAATAACGTTAACCAAAAATTAAAGTACATAAATACAGCTATACAAACAGCAGGAAAGAAACATCTTACAAAAACAAAAACAAAGAAATAAGGGGTAAAAGACACAATATATACTAGACTTGATGGAACAAAGAAGAAAGATAGACATACAAAAAATATTAAATCCGTACTGGAATCAGCGAGCTAATATAAAAATAGAAGATCAAACATCGGACAAAATAGAAATCCGTAGAGGAGTAAGACAGGGTTGTATATTTTTACCGCTCTTGTTAATATCTACAGCAAACAAATATGCCAAGAAGCTCTCTCGCATGCAAACGAAGGGATAATAGTAAATGGAGAAGTTATCAATATCATTCGATATACTGACGATACTGTGATAATGGCAAAAACAGCGGAAGATCTAAAACATCTAGCTGAAAGTATTAATGAGATATGTAATAACTACGGCATAAGGATGAACGTCAAAAAAACCAAATATATGACCTTCAGTAAGAATCCAGTACATGACACTAGTATCGCAATAAACGGTACCCAACTCAAAAAAGTAAGCGAATACAAATACTTGTGAACCCTCATCAATGAAACTGGTGACCTAAATCACGAGATAAAAACAAGTATTGAAATTGCCAGGTCTATCCTTACAAAAATGAAAAAATTATTTTGTAATCGTGATATTAGTATTCATCTACGAACTTGTTAAAATGCTATGTATTCAGTATTTTGTTTTACGGTGTTGAGGCATGGACTCTTAAACATGGGAATATTAAAAATCTTGAAAGCTTTGAGATGTGGTGCTACCGCCGAATACTAAAAATAAGTTGGGTGGATAAAATTACAAATGAAGAGGTAAATCGCAGAATAAATAACGCTCCAGAAGTTATTATGAATATAAAAAAGAGAAAACTTGAATAGTTAGGTCACCTGATGAGAGGACAAAAGTACACATTCCTACAAAATATAATGCAAGGAAAAATCCAAGGACGCAGAAATCCAGACACAAGAAAGAAGAAGACACAAATGACATTTAAACGTTATGTTTGAGTTTTTAAGTATCAATAAAAGTTGAATATATTCATTTATTTTAATTAATCGAATTTCCAGTGTGATTAATGTTCAACAATTGGCAATCTTCTCAAACATCACTGAAGCAAATTAAAAATGACGTTACAGCTTGGGAACTCTCAACTAGGAACAGAAGAAAACAATTGGTGATAATGAGATTACGAATTTGACACACTTTGGAGACTTACTCACTCATATTTATTGTCCCAAAGTGATCCACCCATTTGTGAAACATGTAATGTACAAGTAACTGTTAACCATTTATTAATTGAATGCCATAGATTTCCCAATTTTCGTGTTACATTTAATATACCTAACAGTTTAAGTAATTTATTAGGCACTAATTTTTCAGTTAGTAATATTGTAAATTTCTTAAAATCTATAGGAATATTTTATAAACTCAAATTTTGTAATTCTGTAGCCGCCGCTAATAACCAGTATGGTAGATGCGGCTGTAATTTCTAAATAAAAAAAATAATGACATTTAATTTAAATTTTAGAAATATTCTAATTTGTGTTTATTTACCAGTTTTATATGTATCTTTAATTGTGTACTTCTATTTTTATAACAGTGTTGTCACATTACATTTGCTTTTATTTGTTGTATTGGCCTATTAATTTTTATGTTGCTATTGCGAAAGAACAAAAAAAAACATAAATAATGAAGAAATTAAATAGGAAAAATGAAAAAATAACTTTATTGACGTATCTTTGGTTTTCTTTGAGAAGAACAGGGTATCCACACACAAATTCATTAAGCAATACCATAAATTTGTTATCTAATTTATTTTTCTAGTTTTTGTTATTATTATGAAATAATTTTTTCTAAAAATTCTGCTCACGTATTCTCGCCGCCAACAGGATACAAGTCTCCAATTCCATCTATTTTTTGCATCGTCTTTTCCAATTACATAACAAATGCAAATCGTGATCACAAAACTATAAAAAGAACATATTGACTATTGTTTTTTCACACTCGCTAAAATGAAGTGGCTCTTAGTAGTCACCTGTGCTGTGATCTGCAGCACATACGTGGGAGCCAAAGACGAAGTTGACAATGAAGTTAGCAAAAGCTCTCCCGGTGGTGTAGTGTACCTGATTGAAAGTATTAGTGATGGGAAGAATGATGATGGGCATAAACCCAGTTATGTGTTGGCAGATCCAATACCCATTGATCAAGCTGGAGACGGAGTATACTTCAAACCCTTGGATGGACAACCTCTGGATACACCAAAGGTAATGTATAGTTTTCCTTTATTTTATCATAATGTTTTTGTATGTTTCGATATACATTAACTTATTTTTTTTAAGTAATCAATTATTATTTTTATTTAAATGATAGAGAGATTATATTTTTAAATCCCACAATATCCTTATTAATATTTATAGTTTGTATAGATAAAGCTGTTTTTTACTTATATTTGGATACGCTGCTATTAAGAAGGTAGAACATATTAGGACTATATTTAAATCTTTCGTCATTACCAATAATTATTGCCTTTAATTTTTTTAAGCTCTGAAATACTGGGGCATTGTAAGGGGTTAACTTATTGACCTATAATTAATAGATAAAATATAAGTCCCTCAAAATCCTAATTATTAACTTGGGACATATTTTTTCTGAATTTATTCCTAATGGCAAACGAATTCAGCCAAGGTAATAATTTAATTCAGTGTGGGGATACTTTAACGTTTGTGACTTCGCGCATTCGAAAACTGTGCCCTTATTCTTGAATTTCGGGAGTAGAAATTGCAAGAGAAAGTGACGTAAAAGTAGGCGTGGCTCCCTAAAACCGAAAATGCTATATTCTTGAAAAAAACTCTCCTAATGTGTGAAAGAAATGTCACTCCCTAAGGGAATAACAATTTCTACTGATAGTAGGTAAGAGAAATTGTAAATGGAAGCGAAAATAACAATACATAACCTTTCAAAAACCTAGGGAAGTATTTTGTTTTTTAAAAAGCGGAAGTTAATAAAAGATGGATATCAATCATATGCTCTACTGGAATTATATTATGTTTAATGATGTTGTGGAGGCAGTTGAAGATCTTCAAATTGGCCGGATGTCCTCCAACCAACGGACCCATTTGTTTTGTCAGATAGAAATATTTTACAAATTTTAAAATATATTTTGGAATATTCAAAGGTAGCAATAGTAGCAGGGTAGCAGTTACGATTAAACTGCTCCAAAAAATCACTGCTTTTTGTCAAAATCGCAGGTTGGCCCACCACTAAGGGAGTGACCAGGTTGACGGTTGACAGTATCAACACTGTTCATAGTTTCTCTAATTTCTTTCTACTCCCCGTATTCAAGAATACAGCTTTTTAAAATCGAGAGAAATTATGATGGAGTAGAAAAGCGAGTTAGCTTAGTGGGGAGTAAAATTTTCTCTCGATTCAAGAATAAGGCCCCTGTGTATTTTTCGAAAAATGTTGTTTAGCATATTTCTTCATTCATTTGGATTTATTTATTTAGACGTTAGTATTCTGTTGATTTAAATTGGCTTTTCAATTTCATCACATAATTTTCAATTCTTTTTTATTTATTTGATGTTTTCGTACTTTTATCATCCAGCCCTTGCATCCTCTGCTGAACATAGACCTCCCTCATTTTGGTCCGTTGTGCTCTATCTTGAGCACTTTTCATTCAATTATTGACATTTTCTTGAGTCAGTCCAACGAGTAGGGGGCCTTCCTCTACTTCCTTTCTCTCTCTTCGTCCACCTTTCATCACTGAATCGGGTGAGGTGTCCGGCCCAGTTTCATTTCAGTGCGGCAATTCGGAAAATTACATCGGTAACTCCTGTCCTTCGTCTTGAGTCTTCATTTCTAACTCGGTTATGAAGCGATATACTCAGCATTGGCCTTTCCATTTTCCTCTGAGCTATTTGCAGGGTTTTGCAAGTGGTAGCTGTTAATGTCAAACTTTCGGCACCATAGGTCATCACAGGCAACACATATTGGTCAATTTTTTTACGTTTCAAAGAAATTGGTATATCGCTTTTATTGTTGTCTTTGTGTTTTCCATAGGCTCCTCATGCTTTGTTTATTTTTCTTCGTAGTTCGCATATTTGGTTGTCTCTTGTGATCTTAATTTCGTGTCAAAGGTATATGTATTTTTCCACTAGCTCTACTTCGTTATCTCCAAAATTGATATTTCCTGCTAGGTACTATTGTGATCCTATTATATCCCTAAAATCAAGGGTTACCAACTCCGCCATCTTTGCCGTACCAAACGTATTCCTTCGTCGCCTTGGATGCCGTTCTGGACTTCCTGCTTTACACCACGATATATATTCCTGTATATGTATTCTATATGGAGTGATTGATTTGTTGTTTATTCGGATTTTAGGTATTTATTTCTTCTCTTTGGCTATCAAATAGGCTATACTAATTTTGTTGCTCAGCTCAGCTCATTTTGCAGCTCAAAAAGGGATGCGGATGATCTGTTAAACCAATCCCTCCAGTTTCTACTCTATGATAATCTTCCTCGATAAAATATTTCAGTTTCCAATTTTTAACTCTTCTGGTCACTTCCGTAACTTTTTCCATCTACTGCAATACATCCTCGTTACGAACTTTATCTACCCACCTTATTCGCAGAATTCTGCAATATACCCAGATTCTAATGGCTTTCAGTTTTAGAAGAAGTGTATCCGTTAAAGTCCAACCTTCAACCATATAAAAGAATATCAAACACATAATCTCTTACTAATATGTAACAATAAAACACTGAAAACTTTGTTTTCAAACTTCCACAAAATTTATTTTAAATATTATCACTACAGCTGTTTCGGCTGATTGCCTTTCTCAAGTGATCTATTTTGGCTTGGGTTTACAAATTTATAGTCTCTAATGAAATAGGTTGAGGAGGGGAGAACTGTTTGTCTCAAGTTGGTCATTCAGAATTATATCTGTGTTTTTTAATTTGTTGATTTCCATAGATTCTAACAAAGATAGCTTAAGGCCTTTATTTTGAATGTGAAGAATTTTAAATTTGTCATTAAAAGAATGATTATGATCTAGAAGGTGAAGTGCGTATGTCGAATCTGTTTTTCTATTCTTGAAAGCCCTTTTATGTTCTGCTATTCGTTTATCAAAGTTTCTACCAGTTTGACCGATGTAAGTTTTTGGGCAGTCGCCACATTGGAGTTTGTATACACCACTATTTAAGTGTTTTTTATTTTGGCTCTTGTTATTTTTAATATATTTGCCTAGGTTGTTATTTGTTCGGAAAGCTGGTGTTATTCCTTTCTTTTTTATGTGTTTGGCAATTTTTGTTGTTATTTTGCCTGTATATGTAATCGAGCAGAAGGTACTGGGTTTTTTCTCTGGTGGTGGAAATACTAATTTCAGGGCTTTCTTGTGTAGTTTTTGATTTAATATTTTATTAACTGTTTGTTCGTTGTATCCGTTGTTTACTGCTATTTGTTTAATTATATTTAATTCTGTCTCAAAGTTGTCTTTTGACATCGGAATTTCTGTTAATCTATGTAACATACTAAAGTTATTGAATATTGGGTTTTTTACTATTGGAAATTAGATTATTTAGTTTATTTAGTATTCATTGTACAAACAGTTTTTCGAACCATACTTTTTTCAATAGATTTATAAATTTAACAGATACTAAATTTAGTAACAGCGAGATACAACTTTTAGAGAAAGGATTTAAACACAACTTGCCCCAACATAATAATGAGAGAACTTTAGAATATTTAGGTGTAGAATGTGAAGTAGCGTTAAACAAAACTGCTAACAATATCGAAAAAAGTATAATTGCCAAATCTATTAGAGATGTGTGTAGTGAAACTAAGAATTCCTGTTACAAAGAGAATAAAACAGCAATTTCAATTAAAAATAAATCAATAGAAAACAACATCGTGTTTACAAAAGCAGACAAAGGTAACACTACTATTGCTATAGATAAAATAGAATATAATAACAAAACAATAGAATTCTTAAATAATCAAAATATTGAAACTTTACACAAAGATCCGACAGAAAAATATCAAAAACAAATTAAGCTAGCGTTAGAAAATTCAAAATCAATACTAAATCCAATAGAACAGAAATACCTCAATATTATGAACCCACAGCCTCCTAAATTATATTCTTTCATTAAACTACACAAACCGGATCACCCAATAAGACCTGTAGTTTCTTTTTATACAGCTCCGTCATATAAAATTTCAAAAAAACTGTTAGAGATTATTTTAGACCACACTAAATTTTCACCTAAATTTACCATAAAAAATACAATAGAACTAGTTAATAAAATACAACATTTTCAATTACCTAACAATTCCAGATTAATTTCATTTGACGTAAAAAATCTTTTTCCTAGTATCCCTCCTACAGAAACTTTTATTCTAGTAAAAAACCTTTTAGACCAAAATAGTACAAATCCAATAATTACATCTGAAATTTTACATCTTCTTGAAGTTTGCATAAACCAGGACTACTTTGAATTTAATAATAAAATATATACAAATAACAGTGCAGGACTTATAATGGGTAATCCTCTAAGCCCATTGTTATCAGATATTTTTATGGATCATCTAGAGACAAAGATTTCAAAACATCCGTATTCAAACAGTTTTTATATTGGTGGAGATACGTAGACGACGTACTGGTATGTTTCACAGGAACTAACAGGCAACTCGACCAATTTTTATCATATATTAATTCAGTTCATAGTCATATTCAATTTACAATAGAAACAGAACAAAATCAATCCATAAATTTTTTAGATTTAAAAATTAGCAGACTTCAAAACAAACATGACTTCTCCATATTTCATAAACCTACCCATACTGACACAACTATACACAATTCGTCATCCCATCCAACACAACATAAACTGGCAGCTTATCATAGTATGTTACATAGATTAACAGAAATTCCGATGTCAAAAGACAACTTTGAGACAGAATTAAATATAATTAAACAAATAGCAGTAAACAACGGATACAACGAACAAACAATTAATAAAATATTAAATCAAAAACTACACAAGAAAGCCCTGAAATTAGTATTTCCACCACCAGAGAAAAAACCCAGTACCTTCTGCTCGATTACATATACAGGCAAAATAACAACAAAAATTGCCAAACACATAAAAAAGAAAGGAATAACACCAGCTTTCCGAACAAATAACAACCTAGGCAAATATATTAAAAATAACAAGAGCCAAAATAAAAAACACTTAAATAGTGGTGTATACAAACTCCAATGT